CGTTTTCAGATGCCCACTGAGAAAGCTAAGTTTTCAAAGCTCACTGATGGGAAACAACAATTCAAAGCCCATCGAAGGAAATATTAAGATTGATTTGAGTGCATGCCACTTATCGTTGTTCATGCCTATTGCTTTTGAGGGAAATCTATGCGCCAGGAATAATGATACTAGAATTCCAGAAAATCACAAAAAACGAACGTGCAGGGTATCGTACCCCTCTCGTAGTCTATAAAACAATGTGCAGCACTGAGAATATGTCGTTCTGAGATGATCGTACCGCCACAGTAGTTGTACTGTTCCTCACCCACGAAAGTTACCGCAACGGCCCACGGAAATTGACCAATTTTTGCAGGTGTACCAGCTGCGATTTTATATGCTGAAATAGCACAATTATATTTCTTCACAGTAATTCTCACTACAGTACAACTATGTTAAGCACCCAAAGCATCAAAACCAGAGAAGAATGGTGAAATTGCCAGCTGCATCAGTGGTGAGAAGAAATGCGATGATGAAACAACAATGTATCGAAGCAGTAATCAGGCTGCTCGCATAAATATGTATGCAAAAAAAAAAGGTACGCATGGCCAGAGCGTGCTTGCCATCGGTGCCTTCTCAGCTCATGGCTACTGTTGGTACTTGTTACCACCTGTACTGTTTCTCGAATGTCCACTTGAAAGTGCTCACTTTTTGATAGAGAGCGGATATTTCACTTACAGATTACCTTAATTATCTACCTAATTCTTTTATCCGAAACATACACTACGCCTAGCCATTATTTCTCCCAAGGCTTAATTTTGTTTTTGCTTTTACTGAAAAACTATAAGCGTGAAAATTTTACAATTTCTTAGAACAGGAAAAAATAGACTTCATTTTACTTTTCCCGCCGATATAAAGAAACTCTTTTCTCTCGTTCTGAAAACTGAATTTCCCTTTTCCCGCCGATACAAAGAAACTCTTTTCTCTCGTTCCGACGAAGCGACTGCCGCTAGAAATTTCTGCAGCGCCAGCTAGCAGCTGCTTTATTTAGAACTTTTTTGTGAAAACTGACGAGTTGAAAGCCACTGCCGACGCGTTGCACCACAGTTAATTCGTAAATCTTCGCTGTCATCTTCTGTGATTCTCGACAACTGTATCGCATCACCTGTACAAAGATTTTTTGGAATTCATTCGTAGAACCACTGAGACACAGTAGTAATCTAACTGCTAAGCTCATCAAACTGATGGGGAAGGTAATTTGATAATCATCAACAAGCAATTAAACCTCAGAAGCTTCACAGGTTGTAAAGTTTCAGTCGAGGAACACTTGCCAAAAGAACGAGGAATTGCATTTTGGTCACGAAGTGCCATATCAAGTTGGAAAGCGAATTACAGGTCATACATTTAATTAGCACATGCAGAAGTTCCCTGTGTTTTATCCCTTAGCCGTAAACACAAACAGAGCTCTGCGTACCGGCTAGAGCAAAATTCATCAGCACAGGCTCCAACTCGCTACTTGTTGAATATACATTTGACTGAGTGAGCTCAAAAATCAAGAAAGCGGAAAAGGCAGACTGTTAGCGTAATTAGGCTATGCAAAAAAAGCCAGTTTTCTGAAATTTGACAAACAGGGACAAGAAAGCGCCCCACTAAAATTCCAGATGTAAATTCTAAGTAGTCCAGAATTAAATTAATAGGAACGAACCAGGTTTTGCGTAGACAACAATCTCATTCACGTCCAGAGGAATGTACCTTATTCCCGCTGCTGCTAAGCCGTAATGCAGCATGAACAAAATGCAGCCGCGCATCGAATCGACGAATTTTCATTACTGATAAAATTCCAGCGGTTTCTAGCTTTTATTACTTTTGCAATAATGCAGTAACAAGTAACGTTGCTCTCAATGGCTGCAGATTAAATATTCTACTCTTGGTAATCAATCCCCTTACGACCCGTTTGTTCAATCATTCATTCGTTTTGACGTCAATCCCTTCGTTATAAAAAAAAAAGAAAAAACACTATTTCCCTATATGAATAATTTTTTATTCGCATATCTAACACGTGAGGAATTGAAGTTCGATTCACGGAGGTCGTTCTTCCGCTACTGTTTCCGCTTCCCACAGGTGGCTTTCTCATTTTTCTTTTAAAATTGTGGGTACGCCATTCAATAATTCGCTTTCCCCATCTTTAATCTCACATTCTAGGCACATGATCAGTTCAACTGTTCTTCCTGGCGAACACCGCCCCAACAGTATCGCTCACATTAGACCAAAACTGCACCACTTTACTGAAAATATGTTACGACGACGACGACGACGATGCTGTTACGACATGCTTCGGACGAGAATTGTATGAACGCTGATGTGCTGTGGCGCTTAATGGTAAGACTGGAGTAAACAAACGAGATTTATTAACACGAATACAAGTTTACAAGTGAGTCGATGGGGTGACGGGATCAAGCCGAACGACTGCAGCAACAGCCGCTGCAGACGAATGCTGATAACTGGAATGCAGCAACACACTGCTGCAATGGACCACTGGACGCCAAATCCGGAACACTGGACCCGGGACCCACTGAACGCCGACGATGAACACTGAACGACGATACTGCACACTGGATACTTGACGATAACACGGAACACACACTGAATTGTACAACAAATTTACAAGCTTAAGTACTCATCACAAAGGGCCGGACAGATCAGAGGTCACTTTGCTGCGCGATTCTGGACTGATCTTTGCTTCGCCTCTGCGCCATCTTTTGCTCACTCTACAAATCTGCTGCAGTTAAATTAAGCAAAATGCATCGATGCTCTTCGGTTACTCCTAAATTTTTGTCTTCAGCAAAAGCGTTTTGAGCTCAAAGTGACAAATATTTTTAACCCTTTTATTTTGTTTAGTTTTCCAAGAAATGAATGAAAGTTAGGTACCTGAAAAAGGCTTGCGTCTGTCGCAGAAAAACTCACGCACAGGAATATGACTTTTACGTGTTTTCTTTGCCGCAAATCTAATTTTTGAGTTTTATTACTTTTTATTTCAGTTAAAGCGAAGCACAATTATACAGTAATTTTTGATCACCAATTACTTTTAACAAACATCTGAAAAAAAAAAACAGTAGAAATTTGGTTAAAGATGAAGTCGCTAGGTTTTATTCTTGTTGCACCATTTTACATCATAAAAAACTATCAAAAAATTCGGCAAAAACCAAGACCCCTCTCAAATTTCGTTTTTTTTTTCAGCAAGCATGTACTCCAAAAGCAAACACTAGGATATCAATCGTTACAATTCAAGATCGTCCTCCGAGATATCCCGATACCTCCGAGATATTCCAATACAGCAGGCGCAACTACATCCAATTCTATCCTGAGCCACATGTCTCGAGGTTGTATTTGCTAATTCGGCACTTCGAAAACCGACTAAATAGTCACCTAACAAAACAGAAAAGTTCATTTTTTTGTCAGACATAAATCAGTCGATCTTCGGAAGTGGTCGAATTCCGCTTTTGCCAAATTCTGGATTGCCCAGCAGCCTGTTCAGCGTCATCAACAAGTCCATAACATGCATGCCATTCGTTTTAAACAACAACTTCTTACCATCAGCTGCAAACCATTCACTGGCACTATTTATAATTTTCAGACAAAAAATATCATTGGCTCGTCAAAATACCATCCAAAACCTACTCATCAGCTCATAGGCGGATCCAAGGGCGGGGAAAAATGGGGAGGGGTAAGAGTTTTTCGACACAGACACCAATGCTACAAAAGCCCGGGTTTGAGGCTAAAACTAAAGCCTAAAGCAGCTCTAAACTAAGGTGACTTCCATTCCTAGTTTTTGCGTAGTTCCAGGGTGGAAGGAGACTCTCTTACCCATCCCCGTTGCCGCTCTCCTCTCCTCCCTGAAGTCCATTCCGGATCCATCTACGGAAAATCTAGAAGAACCAACCTATTTTCATAACAAATCGTAATAAACCGTTGATAAATATAGAAAATGTAAACAGTTTCCAGTACGAGAAATTAAGCTAAATGTTTTTTGAATAAAATACTTTTTTTTGTCCAAAAAAATGAAACAGCGGATACAATTTGTTCAAAAAATATATCATTTTCTAAACTTTTTTCCCTTCCGCCACTTCCAAAGTTTTCATTTGTCCCCTATCCAAAAGACAAAGGCCAGGCTGCCATATCCGACGAAAGCAGTCAAACTTTTTCCACGCCATCTGTATACCGGTTGACAGAGACACGAGGCATAAATGATCCTGTAGTTTGGCCTTCCCACGGTCTGTCTTGAGATGGTGTATCGTAAGCTGGACTGCTAAACTGGTCAGGGCATCAATGGCGAGCAGCTATATCACTTCGCTTCGTGGATGACTGAGTATGAAACGGAAAAGTTGCTTGACTGTGAATCTTGGTAGGCCATCCAAACCAAACTCATGTAACTAACTCATTTGAAAGAAAGTAGAAAAAAAAAATATGAGGTACAAATCTCCGAGGTACGACTTTTTTATAGATATAATTCTTTGAAAAAAGGCCACCGAAACCGAAATTTTGAAATGATTTTAGCCAAGAATTAACTTACAAAGATTTGCAAGCATACAGGGCGGTTCTCGATCATTTCTAATCGTGTACTGCACTTTGGTCATTGGATTTGTACGTCGCACGTATGGTGAACTGATTAAGAACCCAAAAGTCCTGCAATATATAAAGGTAGCGTTAGTTCAGTCCAACACTGGAGAACGGCTAATCATTTTCGTTTTGCGCGAAAGAATGTATATTTTTTCCTTCATTTGGTGAGAATAATTTTGTTAAAAGAAAAGTGCGGAAATATAATTAAAGTAGTTAAAAGCAGGGAACAACGGCCTAAAATTTCAGCCTTCTAGTTTCCGTGGATCCCGAGACAATAATTTTCCTCACCAAAACTTTCACAGAGCCATACATTTTATCCGTGGGCAAAGGGGAAAGCTGAATTTAAATTTTTTGGATCGTACTTAAGCAGCGGATATACCCGTAAAGATTCAGCTCCCTGGCTTCCGCTGTTTTCGAGACAATAATTTTTCCCGCCAAAACTTGCAAAATTCAACCAGAAAAAGTTAAATCATTTTGGAGTGCAAGAAAAAATGTTTCTAGCGGATGTTGCGCATTAGTGAGTGATATCCATGAGAAAGTAAATGACGATTCTGATGGTCTCCGAAGAGCGCACATATATTCAGCAGGCGATTAATGTTGCCGAAAGGTACGAAGCTGGCGCCAGGACTGTCAGAAAACATCCCCCTTAAAATTTCAGTTTTCTAACTTTGCTGTCTCCCAGGATCAAAAGGTCTGGCGCTGCTCCGTCTGGTGTGAAAAAGCCTCCCAGTAAAATCGCTAACCTGGGATCCCCATACCGACAATCCAGGAAGTCTCGGTATTTTCAGTTTTAAACAAATAATAGCGTACACCAGACAACCGATAAGGATATTTTAAGTAAATAAAAAGTGAATGCGCAACCAATGCAAACGGGGTTTTTTTGTCAAAATTTGTTCTTAAATCAAAATTTTGGATTAATGATTCACTATATTTGCGGTTGTAGGAAAACCTTATATATGGAAATACTCGCAGGAAAACTACAGTATCAAGTAGAAATCAGGCCAATCACTTTGCTTTATACGATAATCAAAAAAGCCCAAAAAATTCCAGTTTCAAGCTTTCGTCTAAAATTGTAAAAAAATTGGCCTGATTTTAAAGTCTGTTGACAAAACATCGGAATTTAAGGGGTTTGACATAATTCCATCCAGGTCCTTTATCGTGGCGTAGAAAACCAAACGAACCAAGGCTTTCGTAGATCCATAGTTCAGTTAAGCAAACAGATATATGCGTATACAAAAACATCAAGAGGGGGGGCCAAGAGAACCATGATTGGGAGAAAACAAGTATAAAAAAATCAAAAATTGAAAAGTTAAAAAGCAATGAAAAAAAGAAAAACATGGAGATCAGCAAACCTAAGTGAATGGCATCCGGGATGAAATGGATCGAATGATAGCTCAATCGATTTGACATCCTTCAAATCCAATCCTCTTACGGCAAGTGCTGTCCTTTCCGATATTCGCCATCGCCTTCCCCACATTATCATATCCCACATTTTACACATAGCCTCAACAAATCCTCAATCACATTTTTTAAAACTTCGCACCAGCAAATTCTAATGTAACGTAGCGCCCCGTGAAAATTTTTGGCAGGAAAATTCTAATTCAAGAACCAGAAAATTTGGAAAACTGAAATTTTAACGAATTGTTCCCTGTTCACACTTCCCGGATTTCGAGGATCAGTATATCAGCTACTGGGTTCCGAGCGATTTCATTACAACATGAAATGTTGCAAAAAAAAAAAAAAATGAAATGTTGTGTGTTATATGTACATATATGCATGTATGTATATATGCGTATGTGTTTGTGTGTGTGCGTGTTGAATCATCACCATATTACTTCGAACGATGCCTCCTTCAAAAATGCTAAGATATGCTGTCACTCTTACTAGCCAAGAAGAAAACCGCACAGATATCAAATGTTTGAGAAGGCGTAAGGGCAAAAAATATCGCAACTCAACCAAGAAAGCAATCCTAATTCTAGTGTGATCGTAAAATTTCAACTTCGTGGTCATCCACGCCGCATTTCGATCCTTCTACTGATTTAATCATTGGAGAAGAGAGATACTTCATTCCAGCTAATTCAGAATCTTCTCCGTCACCGCCGTGAAGTAGTTACGGTTTCTCCTCCTTTCCGCCCTTCGCCCCCTCCCCCATCTCCGGCACGTGGCCACGCCATGTAGCCACTCAATCCAG